CATACCGCAACAGCTCCAATGCCACCAACCCCCAACTTGCAGACTTTCACCACGAAAAGCTCGCGTCAAGAGAAAGACTAGCCGCTGTAATACTCTGTACAAGCAGAAGAGGTTTTGAGGGAACAGTTCAAGTTGCGCAACGTCACTGATGGAAAATATGTAGTAGACGTAAAAAAAGACGGATCTGGGCTGGCAGGCTACCGAGGGTAAATCACAAATAGTCTTCTGTATCACCCGTCGCTTTAGACGACATAACCCACGCACGCCATTCAACTTTCCTCGCCGTTGTTGTGTCCCTCTTCTTCTTGTGCAGAAATCTCAAGGGACGCTGACACAATTACTCCATCAGATTCTCATACACAGAAGGAAAGAATCTAGTTACTGCCTGCCTGCCTATTACTAAAAATCTGCCTCTTGCATCCATACCCGTTCTCCCTTCCTCCCTCATCTCCTCTGTGGAAAATGATCTCTCCTTCTTTCCACAAGGGATAATATTAATGGGGTCTCAATGCGCTATATGTGCACGGCAATAGTGAAAGCAGCTCGGGTTCGTTATATTTCAGCGACAAGATTTGAAGGGAATTGTGTGTGAGCGAACAAGAGAGCAAAATTCAGGATAAAAAAGGTGTGTGAACATGCTAGGAGCAGGAGTGGACCATGACGATGGTTCTACTGCTACTCTGTTTCTGGGAGAGGAATCTAGGAGTGGAAATCCTCATCATTCCTTCATCCTGAGTGTGAAAATAACTATTTTTAGTGGGCGCAATTACCCGTCTCTGTGGGCTATTGAGGATTTTTCAAACGTCTCTAATGGGATGCTCTCCGCCTCGTCCATTTGCTCTTCGTCCTCGCCGGGGAAGGAGTAATGTGTGGCTGAGGACTGAGATAGCCAGCAGCAGCAGCCGAGACGGTGGTGGTGGTGGAGAAAGCAATAGGGTTGAGGACAAAGTGGAGGTGGACCAGCATAGGCGGGGAGGGAGCCAGCAGCAGCATCAGGCAGAGACAGGCTCCTCAACACCTAATCCATTTCTACGCTAATGTGCTCGGACTTGGTTTCTCTCCACACTTTCTCCTCTGTCCATCTCCCCCCGTTTACGTACTTTCGAACCCAGAGGACTTATTTTATTGCTCCCAAAATGCTCCATCACCCGTCGTCGGCTGCTAACCCACGCCACACACCACCTTCGTCCCCTTCGTCCATAATACACAAACACTTTTAGTGAAAATGGACAACCATCCCTGTCTCATCTTTCCTCCCTGCTCCTCCCACTTTTAGCATTAACACGGACCTGGAGGAAATAAACGTTGTCCACACCTCGATCGTTTATTACGTCTCCCCCACAGGCGACTACATACCGTAACACCTGCTTTTCTTACGAACGAGACCGACGTAAACTTTGGAGTTTGATCATACGTCACAATTCCACATCGTAAAGCACTAAACGTAGTAAACACTGTCGAGACTTGTATTATGGAGCTATTTGTAGCCAACATTGATACTTCATCAGCTTGATGGTACTTGCTGTATGATTTTGCGGAATAGAATCAGAGATGTGTATACGTGGGGCGAGAGTGAGACGGACAATCCCTGCCTTTGAGGGATAAGGGGAGACAAAGGAGCAGCCTCTTCTTATTAGAATTAGATGATGGGGGGAGAGAGAATCCATCACGAGCATTAGTTTGATTAGGGTGTAGTGGGAGTAGTCTCCTCGAACTGATTGGAAAGACTTGGGACGGAGAAAGTACTGAGAGATGAAGCACAGCAGCAGAAACCAGGGAGAAGTTCAGAAAACAATTCCTGTGTAAAGATATCGACCGAAAAACGGTGTGCTTTGGCTGTCTCTGAATCACGATCGATGTTGTGAGAAATATAAAATAAACTGGCGCACTAGTTTACTTCATTCCTTAGTAGTTCACCAAAAACAGGTACATACTTCTCGTCGTCGTCGGCGGCCAGCCAGGCAGGCCAGCAAGGACACCACCACTTTCCCCCATTTCCAAGTTTTCTTTATTTAGTTTACGACTGCTCACTCATAGAAATCCTATTAGCGGACTTTCCTACCATCCAATCCCACCGCCTCACCCACTTACTGCGGAATGATATTAAGCGCCCATAGAAAGGGCCACCTTTCTCACCTAACTCGCCCACTTGGATGCCCTGTCACCATCATCATCGTCACCACCGCCGTAGTGCAACTAGTAATCGGATAAAAAGGGTGAAATTCATTTCCACTCATTTGCGGAGACTGTGAGTGGCTGAGCACGATCAAGGTTGGCTAGTGCTCGCATGAAACGGTGAATAACAACAAAACGCCAGCCAACAAAGTAAGCTGAGCCTTCACTTTGAGTTTGAGATGAGTCAAAAGGGAGCCAATTACCGAGCCAGATTTTCTTGGTCTCCTTTTCCAACACAATAGCCAGCCAGCCATTTCTCGACACATTATCATCCTTGTTCTCTTTTGCATAGATAATATTTCACACGTCACGCTTTTCACAACATCCACCAGCCCCATCGAGTCGAAAATGGCAAAGAGAAAGTGTGTGCACCATGACAACATGTGTGGCCGACCAGAAAGAGGAACATTATCAAGGACTTCATTTCGTACTAACTACCACCAACTTTCACTTTATGTTTGGTGGAAATTGGGGCACACTTTGAGGAGTTTGGGTACAATTCAGGATAATAAATATTATTTACCTGAATAAGATATAGGAATTAGGAAGCACCAATGATTTACTTACTTGATGTTCAGCCTTGGCTGAACATCGTTGCACGCGTCTAGAAACACCAAGGGCGAAAAGGTTGATAAGCACTGAGTGCTTCCTGTGAGTATCATCTTGGCGGCGATTGACTTCAATAAGATATTTCACAAATCAAATGATTTTTAAATACGTATATGGCGAAATTATTGTTGAAATGTAGTTTTAAAATCTATGCATGTCAAATTGAAGTAAATAGGAGTGCCACACACTTAAAATCTCACCAAGGTTTTCACAAAGTGAACAAGAAGTACAAATACTGAATGTGCATAAAGTGTGCCTGTATATACATATTTATCATCATGGAGAGGAGGGTCTGGAGGTCACAAGGATGGAAAATATGTAGTGGGGGTAATATGGTGGGATCACATATCGGAGAATGAATGATTCTCGGAATCTTTGGTGGATTTTCAAACCTTTGATTTGAGTCTTGGTGAATTTGTCTAACTCTCATCTACGGGAATTGGTAATGAATGCCTTGAAACAATTTCAAACCAAATCAAAGTCTCTTCCATTTCAAACTAATCCAGAGACTAGACCTTCAGCTGTGGTCCGTGAGTTGATCTTCTTGTGCTGGATCATCACCCAACTTATCCTTTCCAATAAATGCAAACGCTTTTCTCATTTTGACGTACCGCAGTCGTCCGTCATTTTCAATCTAACCCTTCCGAACTATGCTTAATGTAGGCTGAAGTACAAACTATTTATCTGCTAAGTACAGTAATACTGTTTGATATTTCGATTTTGCAAGTATCAATACTTTGCTCCGTACGTATTTGGCCATCACTTGCCAACAATAATTTCTAGTCTCGAAACTACGACAAAATATATTTATTTATTTAGGACCTGAAAGGAAGAAATTCAGTTAACTTGGACCTAAAACATTGTAAAAGTGTCTATTGACTTATTAAAGTACATAGCTTTCACTTGATAAAAATGTCATGTAATTATCTGAATTGTGTCCTTAAGAAAACATCACTTAGTAGAATTGGTCAAATGAGGAGCTTCGTGTCACAATGACGGAAATCTAAAAGCACAGGGATTTATAGAAAAGTATCACACGAGGCAAGAGCTTGTAATCTTCAGGAGACGAAAAATGTCGTCCAGCCGCCGATCCGAGAGAGCAGCAGATCCACTTTTCCTCATCAGTTGTTGAGCACGGGGTTTGGAGACTTTCAGAGTTTCGGAGCGTCGTCGTCGAGTTGAGAAGGCAAGCAAAAGCAACAGGAAAACTTGTTGATGAGAATGAGAATACTTTCTCATTTTCCCGATCTATCTTTCCCTACATCAAGAAGGAATAAACCCATTTGATCCCCTTTGCAGTTGTTGTATTGTGTGCAAAGTCAAGCATGGATACATATTATACTTGTTGTGGAGCAAACGAAAGAAAGAGGAGAATCTGTTACAGTCAAACAATTAGAAGTTCTCGTAGAATTCTTTGCTCTCTATTCTGCTCCTTTCTTCTTGTTTTCAAGTCTCATTTTCCTCTTGACAATTTGTCTCTCGAGGCTTTTGTGTCTCTGCATCTACAGAGACTATACATAGCGCTTACATATTGATGTTAACCCCCCGACAATATCATCAGCCGTCTGCATTTGAGTTGCGCAACACACCATTGAATGAAGGATTATTAAGTATATGGATTGTGTTGCAGATGTTGTAGCGATACTGATGAGCTCAATGTGTTCGTCGAAGATGTTAATCTAATTTGTACCCTCTCTTGGATGACATCCAATATCAAGAATATCCAATATCCCCGTTGTTGTTTTCCTCTTCTTCTCCCTTTATTAATTTGCTCCGAGAGGCAAGAGGCAACTGATCCGACGATTAGAAATGAGACTTCATCAGCAGTAAATTGAAATTTTGACACGTGACATCCATCTTTCTTTTCGGGGCGAGTATGTGACTGACTTTCTGATTTCATTCATGGTATGGCACATTATTATGCTGCAAGGGGTGTTCCATCACGTCAATTTCAGTAGAATATATATATATATAGATATACTTTACTGTGTTGGCGGAAGACCATATTCACTGCTGGATAGTGGAAATATGGAAAAGAATGATCTATGAAAGGAATATGTCTCGGTGATCTTTTTAAAGCTTCTGAACACCGGTTATCGCGTGGAACTGAAATACAATACAAAAATGGGACCCGAATGATGAAGGAAAACAGAACAATGCAGGTGTTTGTTGTTGGCTCATTATGATTCTTTGCTTTTCTTGAAGCTCGGCTCGAATCAGGATTTCTTTGTTTATTTAAAAGGTTTCTGTTTGGTATTTATTTATCACCATAATCATCATCATTGAAGAACAAAAATCACAGCAGGATAATAACACCTGAGGAGAGGTTCCTCAAGGGCTCGGCGGAGCACCCTCCTCAAGTCATATTATTTTGAATTACTTGGAATCAGATGACGGTTTTACAGAGAGAAAGAAAGTATTTAACATTCAATACAATTTTTAAAACTACTTTCTCCTACATAAGTCAACATTCAAGCACCACCGTTTATATTGATTTTTATCAGCATCTACATCTCGCCATCCATCCTCTTCGTCGTCGTCGTCGTCGGTCTCGTCAGTCCGCACATCATCGTACTCACTGCTGTGCTCACAGAAGATCTATCATCAGATTCTTCGTCCCTTACACCCAACTGGCTGGTTGGTGAATGTGAGCGAATGCGTCTTTAACTCGACTTTTTGTTTCTCTTTGTTGTCATAAAAGATCTCGTTTCGATGCGAGAGGCTGATACGAAGTATTTTTACTTTCTTACAACTACACATTTTTACTTCAACATCCAGGCACAAGACTCTTCTCTAAAGAGCCATTTTAAAGGTTTATAGTTTATAGTGACACATTTATATAAATAAATCTATGGTTAAACAGCCACAGCTCGATTTGATTTCCGAGTCTGCTTCCCGAATAATATCTTTTTAAATGCAAGTCTAAACTCAGGTGAAAATATTGTATAAATTACAGGATTTAGCATACTATTACTATAACCTAACCACTGTATCAAAGCAATATAATATCGACTGATGTCACATTGAGGCCCACAGATTGCCAGAGTAAGCGCCATAACAAAGAACGGCAGCCAACAGACGATGAAAGCACCTGAAACGAAGAAATAATTTAAGTTTAATGATTTTAATGATCAACTATTATGTATTTTGTAGATGACACAGCGGCGGCAGTTATGTATGTCATGTATGTCACTATATGATTTCATGAAATTATGCAGTAATCATTTTTGAATGAACATTATGTGCTAAATCGAATCCCAACACTTTTCGTCATTATCTCAGTCAAGGCAAATCATACAAATTTTAAAACAATCCCCCATTTTAGAAATTGCTCAAATACATAGGCTCCAACTTTACACTTCAAGATTTAAGGTACAAGGTCTGTAAGCTACAAGTTTGCTGAATCATGGCAAAGGAAGATTGACGAAAATTACTGATTCACACTCCTATAAAAAAATTCAAAGTATTTACGCAGCATTTGTTCGATGCGAATACTTACCTGCCAGATTTATTGCTGTTACGTACACAATCAAACCAATACTGATATGAATTATAAGCTCCAACAGAAGAAACCTGGGCCAAATAATTCCAAACGTTGAAGATAAAGATACGATGGCCATATGAGAGATAAAAACGAGTATGTATACGACTTTCAATGCATTTCGACTTCCGACAAGGCCAAATCGCGACTTCCTGAAGCAATTTCTGACCTCCGGAAATCGGAAGTCTATGAATGAAGCTATTATATGAAACTATTCTTGTAGTTAGAAATTTATAACTCAAAATCTTTGTTTCTTTCTTGTCTATTTTATTTTATCTTCTATGATCCTTCGCTTTCACCACAGGAAGTATGAAACAAGAAAAAAGATATCCGCTCAATGAAAATAATATTTACAAAATCTAGCTCAGTGTCTTAATTTGAAATTTAAAAAAATTGAAATGCATGATCCTGGCCAATGTTAAGATATTATTTGACTCAGCAGAAATCAGAAAATAGACGTATCTTATGTATATGTGTATGTATTATATGTATCTTAGCATGCGTGGAAACTGCAAGGTTTTTGCCCCACTTGTGACAGTTCATTTTTTTGGATGTTCACTTTCTTCCGGAAACCTTTCATTTTGATTTATTTTCAACCATTCGCAGGTACTCGAAAGTTTCTGTCCAAGGAGAGAAATATAAAATGATGCATTTATTTTTCGATTTCCTCGTCCATCTTGCTCATTCTATTTCGCTACCATTCTTCCCGGTTGGGGATCTCTTGCTCCAGTCATTTTTCCCAAACTAAGTGGCTTTTCAAACATTTAAAACCCTGACCCAGAGAATTGGGAGGTTTCGCACTAAATACTTTTGAAAAGCAATCAATCTACCTTCTGATGGATGGGAAAAGAAGTCCTCTTGTGTGATGGCTGCAATCGCTCACTCGGACAGAACCACTTCTAAATGATATTCATGTCACCCCCAAGTTGGAATTACTGGAGAGCGGATTGCAATAAAAATAAATCAATTTCACGGAGACCGACAATGAAATTTTGTAGATAGGAATAGCACCCCGGAGCTAATGGGACATGTGAAAATTATTGGAACCATATTCGACCCCACCTCAGCAGCAGCACTGCATGCGGTTGAAGAGCTTGGGAAGGACACAAACAAGGGATTAGAGCACTTTACCCCTTGCCAACTACAACATTGGATTTTCTGAGTGTAATATTATTCAGTTGGGATTACTCCAATACGATGCTGAGTTTGAGTTCTGGCCAAAGACCAAAACAAAATGCTTTCACTTCACTTCTTTTACAGGCTTTACTTCCCATTCTCCAATTTCTCACGAATACCGCACGACACCACCTCAGCCCAACATTACGACCACTAATACGTATTACCTACACTCCAACCGATTCAGAATTCATGGCAATATGTGCCCCCACGATGCAGGAACAAGGGAAAGCATACTGAAAACGATGCTATGAACCAGTAAATTTAAGCAACCTTAGTTTTTATTCGTGTCATCGAGATTGCCCATAAAAGTAACAATGCCGAATTGTGTTTTGAGCCACCATGAAATAAATAAACTGCGATATGTGTGTATGAAGACAACAAGAAACCTGCCAAATTGTATGTAACAACATTGTCCACAACTTGTCATAATTTGTTTAAAAGTCGACAAGAGTAAAATATTTTTTTCACAAACCGGTAATAATCCCGAGAGTTTTGGCTGCTTTGCGTTCTCTTTTAGCTTCGCCGGTTTCTTTGACGGTTTTAGTGATTTTTCGTGCTGGCGTTGTTTCTGGAGTGATTCCAGTGCTGGAATTCCCTGGCGAACCGGGTGGCAAAAGTTGATGGTGAAGAGTTCCTTTTCGAGTAGTTTCCGAACTTCCAACTCCAGAGGTACACGTACTCGCAGCATCGTCTCCTCCACCTCCTCCTCCGGTATCTCGTACCCCGCCGTAATTATTGATGAGGACGGTTTTCTCTGGGCTGGGGTTGCTGGAGGAAGCTGTCGTGATTAAGCTAGTTTCTGCTGCTGGTCTCGGGAGGAGGGAGGTCGCTGGCGGAGGTCTTCGTTTCCGAATTCGCTTTCTCGCCGCCTGGAAAATCTTCCAGTAAAGGAACAATATGACGGCCAGTGGGACGTAGAATGATGAGAGCGTGGCAAATATTTGCTGAAAATATAAATATTGAAATATATTCTGCTGTCTGATGTGCATTGTTTTTTTCGGTTCAGAAACTTTGTAAATAAAGTTGAGTACAAATTTTGTTGACACTTACAAAATACTTGTCTTGGTTTACGGTGCACTCTTTTCCCTCAATGCGCGACTTCCAGGTCTCATCTTTCCAGCCCAGTTGGGTCAGTGATATCACGAGTGCTAACATCCACACGGTGAATATCATGGTCAGCACGCGGCGTGAGTTCCTCCGATGAATGTAGTCAATATTCGTCACGGCCCAATATCTGTGCCAAACGTCACAACATCATGTACTCATTTGTAAGCAGTTATTTCATCCTTTCGTCATTGGCTAATGGGATATTTCACTGGGAGGGATGAAACATGAAACTAATTGCACTCGTTCATCCTAAGCTGGGTGGACTACGTGGGTTATTGAATCATAGGTAAAAGCATCTCTTTTGTGGTTCTGTGTGACGCGTGTACAGACGCATATAAGTAGTATTTTATTCATTTTAGTATAGATTATATTCGCAGAGATGTATGTATGTGTACAATTATTCTTTTTGAGAAAAGTCTAAACGCCCAGCGCTTCACAAAATTGCCCTATCCGAAATATAAAAAAAAACTTAACCTATTTCCTCCTATTGCGTCCACCTAGTGACGCATATAACGTATCCACATGTGTACATACGTACATACGCAGATATTCATATGTCAGCATAATTATTCTATGCATAACTGGTTATGAGCGATGTAGTTATGTAGACAGAAAATTGTGCTTCGAGTTGGTTCATGGAGATGTGATGTTGAATGTACAGATTGCTAAACATATTTTGGTACCTCTATAATTTTGGAAGTTATGTCGAACATCCTGCCCTTGAGGAACTAATGCAAATAACTTGACTTAAATGTCGTTGTGCTTTTGCTAGAGATAATAATAGCGACACACACACATAGCCTTGAATGGCATGAAAGTGTGAGCAAAATATACCTTTCTCTACATACACTCTTGTAATTGGTTATAATAACTTGAATCAATTCATCGCATATATTCAAATTAACTACCCATAACTATGAGTTATTGTCTCTCCAAAGGCTGATTATTTCCACCAGAATTGCGAATTTTCTAATTGCTAATTGCGAGTCAATCACAAATCATATTTGATATTTAGCTAAGTTAATTATGTGCAAAATTAACTGTTTTTAATATGGTCTCGCTATATGACCCCGTTTCATTAATTCTTCAAGAACTTGACTGAGTGAAAGTTACAAATTTTACTTTGTTAATTTTCAGGTGAGGGAAATACGACTGGACTTTTTGCAACGTTTAATGCACAAGGTTAGGTTATTGATCAGTATGATGACTTCTACTTTCACTCTATAATGATGCTCGAACGGACGATAAAATTAGCTGCGTCACACAAGCTGAATAATTGCCCAATGTAAACTGTACTATATAACCGAGTATGCATACGTACATAATGTGCAGGATGGTATTTAATTCCTTTTAATTCATCAACCTAGCACACTAATTATAATCAGTATTTGATGAGTGCAGACCTGAGCTATAATTATAAAGCCTTTATTCACACTCGCATTTGTCCTTGTGTCGTCTCACAAAATTGATGAAAGTAATGAAAGTGAAGCTGACTTTCTCTTTGTCAAATATTCCAGATTATAAATCTCAATTTCTAACATTAAAACCCGTAATGGACAAAAAGCTCAATTAATTATGTATGTATTTCGGAAACATAATTTCTGAAATATTAAAAATACGATACACTCAAAGAAGCTATCACATGTTAGTTAATTGCATTGCTTAATTAAATTATCCCAAAATATTCAACCAATAGACATGTTGCCATATATGTAATTAGATGATAAATATATGTTCGTAATGAATACGTGCATAATTGGATTCATTTGACTGTTTCAGATATTACCGAGTGTACATAATCAATAATGGGCAAGAACAACAAAATGAAAAGGGGATGCATATTTTGGAAAGTGTATTTTGGAAAACATTTCTTACCGATCCATTGCAATGGCCACCAGATGAAGTATGGATGCTGAAAGTTAAATATTTATTTGAGCACGATATTTTCATATTGGAAATGACCACCAGTTAAGTAAACATAATTTTCAAATGCATGGAAATATGTGTGTTGCTACATATGTAAATGCACAAGTTCGGCAGATTCGGAGGCCCTGCTCATAGACATGTAAGCATCGAAGTGAGTGACATTTTCGTTGCTTGTAAATACATATATGCAAACGGTATTTATACGCTATTTGGGATTTTCAGTCGGGACTATAATCCTCGGTTTTTAATCCAAGTGCCAAGTAAATTCTAATGCAAAGTGGTCCAAGTTGGAAAAGGCGAAAGTCAACAAAGTTGTGGTGGGATTTACTGTCCATTATGTAATTAGCATACGTGATTCTGAAACTCACTCTCTTCTACGAGGAGACGAAGCGAGAGAGACTTTATCCAAACTACTTTACAGAGAGTTGCCGAGTGTTTGTTCACATGCACATTAAAGATTTTACGCAATGCGCAACTTTGAATTCTTGTGCGAATGGAAAACGTAAAAATGGACGAAAAAGAAAGGAAGCTAGTTACAATGAAGAGGAACAAAATGCGAAATTGTGAAGACAGACCTCGCTAATTACGATAATGGTTAGCTACAAAATATGCTGGTTTGGCCCGAATGTCTCGAGAAGAAATGAAGAGCTCGAGTAATGACACTACCAAATATCCACTAGTCGGACGGACAGGACGAGTCTCTTCTTCTGGTGGTAGCACAAGCCATAGTTTTTGTAATTCTTGTCAGAAAAGTAATGAACTAGAACAAATGTGGATTGCTGCTTGGTTGACAGTAAGCATGTATGTAAGGTGGGAGGCGTGTACATGAGCAGTCAGGTTATACGAATTCGACTAATTACGAGTCGCATTTGACATTTACGGCTAACTGTACCATGTTTTGGGTCAAATTCGTTCACCCGAAAGTTGGATAATCCCAACTTTCGACAACAACTATAATTGATTCGAAAGGGGTTGAAGTTAGAGGTGGAATTCCGCTGACAACCCATTTCAGCACACACAATGCATTTCAAGATGACAGCTATTTCAAGAAAATCACTCTCTTACCTGTACAGGACAGGACATCCGAGGATGTCCACGTTATACAAAGCCATTCTCCAAGCGACCAAACTTTCGATACCTGAAAATAACAAGTTAATTTCATTAGAAATAGTTTTCAATACACAAAACAAACGGATTATATGACGAGTTAAATGAAATACGTGATAACTGAGGATACAAGATACTAAAAATGAATGACATATTTTGCATTAGATGCAACTTGATGAAATAAACAAGTCGATTAACTGCCCATTTATGTATGAGTGCTCTCTAATAGTAGACTTTAAAGTTTGCATATAAATAAATCCATGTGGACCACACCGTCGACAAGATTTATGGAACAATTACCAGACATGATTTCAACATTTCAACATTTGTCAAAGTTAATCATATACGGCTGCAATGTCATGACAAAAATGCAAGATAAGTTTTCTACATTTGTATGTATCCTCCCATCCACGTCCCTGCTTCGTTGGCATTTTCATTTTTAAGTCCACTTGTCATTCGGACTGCTACGTTCGCCATTACACAAATTTGTCAGGAAAGTCAGCCACTGTAACACATATCAGATAAAAAAAATGTCCTAATGCTGACGAGATGATAAGTTGAAATGGATTGTGTATCTATATATGTATTCGTATCTTGGTGAAAGCAGGATAGAAAAATCTGCAGTGGTTGAAATACAAATATACTAAACAAGGCTTAGCCATCGTATGCGTCGTTAGTATTCCACGATCATGCTTCACGTTTTTTAGTCCGAACCAGGGCTTCTGTAATCGCTTTGTCTATCTGTCCATACTTTTGTACATTCATTTTATTGTGTTGCACAGTCACTAACTTGAAATTGAACCACTGACACGATGACTGCTTTGGAATTGTGGGAATCTATCTGTATACGTAGTAAAAAGTTATTGGTCTTTTATTTTGTATCAGAATGAAATATTGATTGATATGAGGTTCCTAAGATGTATAAATAAACTTGTCCAACGAAGAATGTCGAAAATTGTATAAAATTGAGCACGAAAGATCAATCTCTGATGTAATGAAAAATAATCATAAATTGGGATTCCTATGAGATAACACAAATTGAATCTCAATCTCCCAATTTGAACTGTTCATGTATTGGACTCATTCTTAATTTTGTTACGTTGAACGATGAGGAGATGGCAGCCAATATTTCTGGCTATCAACATGCATTTCTTTTTTATGTGCTTCAACTCACCCGACTCGAGGCTAATTCGATTTGATAAACTTGACTCAATTCAATTGAGTATGACAAAAATTCGGCTTTGATACCTGTTTGGATATCTGTTGATGTGGTATTTGTCAACCCTCCTTCAAATCGAAGCCTTACTCGCATGCATCAGCTATATCTCCCTGTGCGAGTATTGTACTTTTACCAATGGTATGAGATTGTGATAGATGGGAATATTAGAAACTTGTCAAAACTGTGATTTCAAGAAAATCAGAGTTGAGTCCTCGAGGAATTGTATAACTTTTAGTATGTTGGCATTTCCACTTTCTCCAATTTGATTCCATTATTGAATAACTCGGTCGGTGTGCCAGAGATCTATCTAGACGAAAAAGTTGTGTTTTACGAGGGACGTAACCTCAAATGCCACAACTAACTCCTTGCTGATGCCTTGTTATCTCTTATTACACAAGTTGTTGGTCTAGTTTTTCGACGTTTGCTATCTGTGACCTCGTATTGCTGCTGCGTGATGCTATAAAAAGGACTCCTGTTTACCCTGTTTACGAGTGTAAATGTAACTGAGAACACTAACGTGCTCATCCATTTTTCATGGATAGAGTACATGGCAACATTGATTAGGCAAGATTGCTCCCTTCATCCTGGGTTTTATCCACCATTTTGTTATATTGTTGCCTGTTGCGTGGTTAATTGCATTAATTTCTCTCCTGCATGCATTGCACAAGAAACTGAATTAACCAGTAACTCTACGTACGAGTATTTTTACAATTTCGATGGAACAACGATGGACTTGTGGGGAATGTGCAGTATTTTTAGGTATACAAAGTGTAAATAAAACCAACAACTTACTTCATATACTGCAGCCAAGGGCATAACTAGACATGCAACCATCAGATCGGCAACTGCCAGTGAGAAAATCAGATAGTTTTGAAGACTATGCAGATTTTTCTCCATCCATATTGCTGCCAACACACCAACATTTCCTGCAATAAAAAACAATTCACATTACAATAAGTTCACAACCGATGAATTCAAGTAATACAAGACAACCGTTGATCAAAAAATGTGCAAAATGTGTTGTTTGTAAATGACACGACAAATTGTGGGCGTTCTGCTTGGCTCGTAATAGATTGAGCACGCCATAAAAAACAGGGTACTTTTCCTTTCACCACTTTCACCACTTAGCTGAGCTGGGTGCATGTAGTGTAGATGTTTTAAGAGGCTGGATCACCTAACCCGCTTTAAGCCCTCGTCGTCGTCGACGGAGGAAATCAAGGTGAAATTGGCAGAAAGTTGGGCAAGCGGTGAGTGTGCGAGAGTGAGGACATGAGATAGTGGCATGCACGGCAGTTTACTTTTATTCCTGGATCTCTCTCCTCAGCTGAGTGAAAGTAAAACGAACAAGTGCGAATGTGGGGTTGGATGGCTGGTTGGATGGATGGATGGATGGAGGCAGACGAGCGCGTTTCTGCAACGATATCCGTGAGGATTTTTTCTCATCATCTAATGGAATGGAAACGTGCAGGCCACGCAGTACAAAGAATTAGAATCACTCAATATGCTCGAATCCCTTCACTCCTTTTCTCGTCCTGTTCTGTATTTCTTGCTGGTGCGATACATGTAACTCTGCTCTGTGTAGCCCACCAGAAATCTCCGTGGACTTGGAGTAAAGAGTTGAGACAACAGTGGGCAGAAGAGGGAATTGCAGGATAATTCACTGGCTGTTAGCTTAGCTTAGTTCATTCTGCCCACAGATATCACGACATGAGCGGCGTGGTGAGCTACCCCCCTCAACCTCATCTACCACAACTTTCCAAGTTTTTTAATTAAAGACCAACCTCCTGCACACCTGAGTCACTGGAGTCACTAATGAGTGCCTCTCCGTCGTTCCTACTTTGTCTCGCCCTCTCCCGCTGCTACTGCTATTACTCTTACACAATGTTATCCCAAGTGAATGCAGACTCCAACTTATTCTCAACTAAATACGTACAATGAGAAATTTCTACATTTGTCATTTTGAACGTTTTGCATAGTGCTTTGGAAATATTCATCGTTCTTCATCCGTGAGCTCCACCAACTCAACGAAAAATAAAATAAACAAAAACAAGGGCAGGGAAAAGTCAAACTGACGCATACGTCATATTTTGCAAGAGTTTGCTGGTTGACATTTACCCTTTTTGTAACTCAGAGAAGAGAGACGATTAAAAAGTCATCAACGAAGAGGGAAGCAACTACATGCATGCGATAACTTGTAGTTGCACAATCCAAATGCACCACGTTCTGCTCCTTGTTCTCCTCGTGCGTCTTTTGGCAGTGCTAACGTGCGTGTGTGTGGAGGATGCTTCGAACAAGAAGGGGCGAGGAGAAAGTTGGAGACGGAATGTTCTGCTATTGGAACAGTAATTGAGCACAAAAGTTACAATAAGCACTTTTATCACACTTTCGACATTGACACCGGATCAACTCAACGCCAACTCAAGTTTAACATTCTCCTCTTTTATAATTGAATGGGGACCAGATTTGTACCAGCGTTTACTTTTGCTCATCTAACACAGCCATTCCAGGAACGAATTCGCCAAGTTTCCCAATCATTTCCAACCCCGCCACAGCATAACCTCATTTCCACTCCTTTGATGTCCTGAGTAAAATTCAAGCTAAATGGAACAATAAAACGTGACACATGAATGAAAAGGAGAAAGGCTCCCAGTCAACGCTGTACATACGGCGGCTCATGAAGAAGCAGAAGGGTGGTGGTGATCATCAAAGGATCCGTTCACACGCCTTCGGTGAACAGTAATTAGAGAATGCCAGTCTCCAGTTGTTTACCATTGTCAATTGACCTGCATTCAAAGTGTCACCAAAAATCCTGACACACACAAGAACAAAATAGTGGTTGAAAACAAAATGATTGCAGAATCCGTGGCTTACTGGGATATGTAACAACCTTGCTTGAAATTGAAAATGATCAAACTAACGGATCCGGTTTATGCCAAGCGAAAGACTTTAAATAATGTACGCCTTCCTGTTTCAGTTCTCAATGGGCTCCTGCATAGAGTTGGGGGATTGATTATGCAACCCTCTACATATATACATGCGCAATTCAGTTTTTAATTGGTTTGGCGACTTAACAAATTTAGTAGCATTTTAAAACCCTTTAGAAAGTCATGTAAGTAGGGTGGATGATATGATCGTATTACTTGGTATATACATAAAGCGCTACAGGATCCGCTTGGATCAAATGTCTTTCACAGGTGAAAATTACGATGCTAATTCATAATTTGAGAACGTTGGAGCATTTATAACATTTACGAGCATTCACATTTTTATTGAGCTAAATCCAATGGATACACGTAAAGGTAAATGATTTGTCAATTGAGGTTTCTCTGAAATTATACATAGACAAGTATTTATAAAGACAAAAACATTTGGGAATCGTCCTCATTTCTAAATCCTCCCTTTTCTTGGCTATCTGTGTTGCTCACTCAGTCACCCACCTCATCCTTTCTCCTCCACAAATCCAGACAATTCCGACTAGAATACTCAAGTGAGGAGGAGGGGATTTAAATTCCAAATTCTGTGTGTAGTGGCCATAGTGGTCTCGTACTAGGCAACTTGGCGACAAATGAAGCCAAGTCTGCGAACCTAAATTAACTTGAACCTTTTCCAATGCACTATTCATGAGACGGATTGTTGCGGATTTAGCCAGCCAGTAAATTTTTAGTACAACAACTTCAACTCTGTTAGCCAAACCCAACTTTCCACCAAGGAAGGTTGATGTGAGAGACGTGGTTTGCAGGCGCAAAAATAAGTGTCACCGCCCAAGCAAGTGCTAAATATTTCATTGATCTTCACAGACGTGAAAGTACCAGACCAGCACTGTTTGACTGGAAAACTGCTGCTTAATGTGCACGGTCCTCGTGTCCTGGTGTACACATGCTCGTATATGGATAAATAGAGGGGCTTATTCAGCACACGAATTAGTCAATGATTTACTACAATGATTTCCTACCCTATGTGGTGGCAACTAACTTGAACATGTACGATACTCAGAAATATCACACCAAACCTAATTAAATATAAAAATATTGCGCTGTGAATTAATTAGACTGCTTAAGTTATTGCATCGGTAAATAGTTCCTTAACTTATTTTTGAACATAACGTAACTTTCTACCAAATTCTGTCCTGGGCTTTGTGGAACTATCAAAATTATTCTTGCACGACCCATTTTCACATGATTATGAACCTCAGATAGTTTACAAAAGTAACCGTCAAAGAATAGCACATTATTTAGCTTAACAATTTTAGAAATAATAAAGAATGTACGAAAAATGGACATATCCTTTGGGAACAACCAATTTAAATCTAACTTTGTATCCAAAGATGCTGGATCAAACTTTCTTTTATGTAACACTAGTCGAGCCAATACCTGAATAACTCTTTCTGCAGCATTAAGATTTTGCTGAGAAGCCACGCCCCAAACACAAGAAATGTAATTTAAAATTGAGTTTACCACAGCTACACCAACCAAATAAGGATTGTAAATCCGTTCTAATTTTTAAATTGCTTAAAATGTGATATAACGGAGAAATTAGTTACTGATTTTTGCTTTGCTGTATAGCAAATTACGTTTAGACAATTTTTAAATTAGGTGGGGCGGTTGCACTTTGAAAATTTTGAATTATTATAAATTTATATAATGACGGACCAAGAAATTAGCACGCATCATTCAGCACGATTGTACACACATCTCGTTTATATAAATAAATGTATGTTATACGTAAGATTTGACTTTATGCTGCTGCTTATTCTGTCAACGACTCGTTGGCAACCTTTCTTTGTTTACGATTGGTATAAACCATGTAGAAAAAGAGGGCTGGAGAGATGAAAAGTTGAGATCAAATAAGCAGATCCCAGGTGTATTCGCACGTTTTATGTGTGCACGAGTACTAAAAATGTATAAAATACACAGGATGGTCAATGAGTTATCGACTCCATGTGGAGGAATTATCGGCGTCGTTTACTCTGCGACACAAGTGTCCAAGATTAAGCAGCCCGTTCATGGCTTCTCACCAAAGTACCCTCGTTTATTACACAAATGTGGTCGTAACCATGTTTTTCCTTACTCTTCATAACTTTCCTAAATATTTAAATGTTGCGTTTATTATCATCCCTCGGGCCTTTGCAGCAATTTTGAAACACTGCGAACAATATAAATACACATTAATGGCCGCGTCTAGTGATCATCATGAGAGACAACATCTTCACATCTGGTTTTACTTATCTAAACTACTCCTCACGCTGTTGAAATATTGCCCATGAACGTGATAAATATAAACTATGCCTGGGTGAGAACAAGGCCTCATACCTGTGCTACCCACCACCGCCTCTCATCCTCAGAAGGTAATAAGCAATTCTTCTTCCTACGGACATATATTTATATAATATGCACAGTCTGTTTGTGGCGTTGGTTTGTAGTGTTCATGTGAGAACGTTATGTAATTATTGGATATAGCCTCCAATTGTCAGTTTTATCCGGTCCGAACCCTAAATTCTATGTGCAGCCTGCTTTCGTTGCTTATTCCGGCTAAATGTAGAACACCAGCAGGAGGGATTTTTATGACTTTCTCCAATTACATGCGCCAGTCGCAAAACCGGCATTGACCAAAGCAATAAGCTCGTCTGATGCGAAGCCTTCCTCGCCATACTCTGGATAATGTTGCAGAAACTACACAACCAAAGCGTTTTCCGGATTGTATTTACATCTTGGCAATTACGGCTTTTCCTTCTTTGACTCTTTGGCTCTTTGATTGAACATTTGGGCCGCTTAATGCAATAATCCATTAAGGGGAGAGAAAGGAGAGGAGTGAAAGTGAGTGTCATGTTGCCTGCCATCATCAAATGGAGCGATGAATAACTGATGAAACCTACTCAAAGGACGACGACGACGACTGACGAGACTTGAAGAGCGAGAGAGCGAGTGGATTGGGCCTTTTACAGCCTCAGAGTAAAAATCTCAGAGCTAGGGGATCATCAAGCTAAATTAAATATCCACATCTGTTCCCCCGGCATATGGCTCATGTCATGAGGCAGCCAAGAGCAAATAAATATTCCACCCCACGTCGGTCATATCACAGTCTCTTCCCCCGTCACTCTCAGATACACACACGAAACAAGGAGAAGAAGAGTTGGGAAAAATTTGCAAAATCCGTACAAAAGCAGTCGGGAACTTGATCTGCCTGCTGTCTATGCCTCCACACACACACACACATACAAACGAGGAGAAGAAGAAAGCCTTCACCTTTGCACGTTAGCTCTGATCTCTCGCGATCTAATCGAGATCTTTCATCCATCCTTCCAACCACATCACCACCACGATCACTCACCCTCCTTTGGATAGATGTGTGTCTCTGAACTGGGATCACTGCTGGCCAATTTAGCAGCGGTAGTGCCACATACAATATTCCTTATCACACTATATACCACCGTTCTCATCTGACTTCGAGATGAGATCAATTCTATTAGGGAATTCCCATTACTTCCATTCCTATCACACACGATGCCCAAATTCCTAATCTCATAGCTTAGTTTGACACAAGACGCTGCCACATCCTGTGTAGAAAGTGAAATGATTTCTCACAAATTCTCTCCGCCTCTACGGAGGAAGAGACTACGCTACTTAATTCTAAATCAGCAGTGGGATTTAATAAACGATAAATAAACTGATAACTTTGCCAATACATAACAAGGTCAAACTGTCAAAAAAAAGACAAAAATTACTCTTTTCCCTAATACTCCAGATTTGTGTTGAGCTGACATTGTCGTTTGAACTTGTGTTTGAACTCTATTTTTTCATTTGGTGTGGGATACATGTATGTTTGGATGACATGGTGAAACCGCCCTTAAATTCATGAGAAAGTTGGCCGCATGATGTCTTTCTTCTCGGAAAGTAGTCTGTTGGTTCTGACATTCTGAGAAGTTGTGATAGGGATTGATACTGACAAGATCAGATTGTTTACTCGGTGTGGCCAGCTTTTCAACGAGAAAAAAGAGGAGAGGAGAACACGACTCCACCCTAACACACAGGGCATACCAGAATTGGTAGACAGGCGAAACCATAAGAGATGGACACGTGACGCGACAAATGCAATAATGCGAGATCGACGACGTGGGGCAGCAGAGAATAATAAAGTGACGACAGCTCGAGTAATACTGTGTTTACTGGAAGTGTTCCAATTGGTCCTATTGTACAACTTAATGGAACGCAATGGGGGTGAGGAACCAATTTGACGGAACAAGAGTAGCCAGTTGAAAGGAAGGGTCACTGCCAATTACAGTCACAGTAGTTAATAAAGTAACTTACTGACGCCCTTTCAACAAACACACTTTCTCTCTCCAAAGTTTGATACTCTTGCAAAAATAACACCACGAAAGAAAAATACATCACTTGGAAAAGAGAGATAATTTATTTTACGAAAACACTTTTAACACTGCGAATGAGACAAAGCAGATGCAATTTCATGCGGTGTTTTACATTGTACTTTTAGATCAGGTATAGTTTTCTGTGCAAATTTTAAATATTAAGTTGTATTCATACGAAGCGTATGTATGCATTTATTCATTTTTAGTTAGTGCTTTCTCCTTTTTATGACTTCTCAACTTGATAAGGTTTGATAATTCTTCGTGGGTAAAAAATAATATGCTTCAGCATGTAATTACGGAAACAAAGTTGCCTTGATTGCATTTCTCTATATAAATCATATTCTCAACCATGTTAAACCAATCAGTGATTCGTATATTTCCCCATTACAATATGTTCATCCCTACATACATATTTGTGGAGGCAGTTAAGCCTTAAGTTCAAGATCAGGGTTACTTCAAACTTTGTAATAGTCAGCTTATGTAACTTAAGTGGTGGTTACGACTAAAATTAAAGCTCTTTCCCCGTTATAAAGTTTAAATTACCTGATGAAACATCTCAAAATCCTGTAACCGTTTATATATAGATTGTAGAATGAATTTGACATTGATGAAAATGAGATTTATAGGGGAAAAATGAGGCAGAATCTTTTGTTAATTCTTGTTTTGAATAGTACAATATATTATGCAAATTTTTACCAATAATAAATAACTTTACCAAATTGTTGATTATTTGTGTTTTGCTAAAAAGCAAGGATACTGAAATAAGTATTACTCCTTGGTATTGAAATCTCTGAACCCTGGTATGGTGCACATGGTTATCACCACCATTCTATGTCAGCATCGAACTTTCTTTAAGATACATATGTACATATATGCAGATGTTATTGATTTTGGTGTTCATGAGACTTTGAGATTACGCTTTACATATGATAGACCCGATAAGCGGGTTGCATTGCACGTTGTGCTTTGAGAAGATTGTATTAAATTTAGATCAGTATCACAAAAATGTGCATAAAATTCACCTGTCATCGTGGCAATCCACACGAGTCCGAGCACGATTCCCACCACAACGGTGAGAACAAATTCGTCCTCTGTCGAATCTTGAGTAGCATTTCTGCTAGCATTGAAGCAGCTCAGGGTGGATTCGCTGCTGGATAAGACGAGGTCATCGTGGTCGTAGGAGCTAGTGTTGTTGTAATAGGTACAGTCTTCCATGGGGAAAGGAAGCAGCAGCGCCTTCGCACCGCTGGCATCCACCTCGCGATTCGTCACCAACTGCGGCAAAATGTGCGACTCTTCTCTTTCTCTAGTGCCCTAATTACCACACTAATTCGACGTATTGACTGGTGATGCAATTACGGATGTATAATGTAATGTAACTGAGAATGTGCGGCAGCCGTGGTGAAAGTTGCACTGCCGTCACATCTACACAATCAGAGGACGGGGCGAAATGTCATTGCGGCCAACGTGTTGGGGGCAACTTGACAACGGCGAAGAAAGTGGGCTGCCAGGGTTGGTGAAAGTGAGCGGCGGTGGAAGTGAGAGTTGGGCAAGGAGGATGTTGTTTCTCTGCGAGATATGTTCCACGACTAAAGTGAGGATGCAGCAGAATCCGTCTTTTCTTGTTTTCCATAGTGCACCTCCCAGCCAGCCACGCTCCTTCCCTTCTTCACCACTTTTGCTCGACAAAACTGCTCTGCTCTCTCTCACTCAAAGCCCAACACGGAAACTGTGCCAGTCCAACTCGAACCTTTTCTTCTTCTGACCCTCATTTTGTTAGAAAGATCAATTACAGATATAACGAGTTGTAGAAAAATATTCTTCTGAAGTGTAATTTACTTGTGCCACAGACACGGTTATGATTTTCTAAACTTTACTAAATCACTAAATTTCATGATTTTATATACAAATAATTACACTTGTCATAGTAAATCAAATAACTTAATACCTCAATGTACACACATGTAGTTTGATAAATAATTTGTTGTCCAATGATGAGATTTGAGCACTGATTGATCGAATTGATGTAAACGTGCGTAACTCGAAATATATGAAAAATCATAATGATGGTGCACGCGATATGGCTCTCGTTTTGTTCAATTGGGTGAATAACTTGAGTTTAAGAGAAATACTACACGGTGCTAGTAACAAATACAAGGAGACTAGACTGCATGAACTAGTAAAATCCTAGGCCTAGTTAACCTTCAAGATTACTTTATTTGCATGCACTTTCAACGGCTAAATGAAACTTACCAAGAACTTGAGATCATATCAGTTGTTGCTTATTAGACTCCAGTCCTGCCTTCTCTCCGTCCGTCCGTTGTTCTCAACCACAAAAATGAGACACTTCTCTAAATATCAATATAATGATTGGCAGGCGGCTCGCATGTATGGAAATGGACTGTTTTACCCAATTTTGTGAGTGAATAATGTATACGTGTATGTACACCTCTTCAGGATGGACGGAAGAGAAAGCGCACACTACTTTTTCCATAACTTTGTTGGGAACGAGCCTCGAGAAGAGAAAGCAGGAGAAGGAGGAGGAGTGTTTGTGTGCGTGCATGTTCGTGTTTAAAATTATTTGTTACTACACTGTTTTAATTTTGGTAATAATGCGCTGAGACCCGATCTGATAACGTGCATTTGCGTTGACTTGTGCCTGCATACAAGTCAAGTCAACACAAGTCAAGTATTACGATGTCTTGATTAGAAGTACTTTGTAGCCGATGCTGAACATTATTTGTGCAAATAATGTGCACATTGTTTGCTTGTATTTATGACATTCATCGTCAGTCATGACACGTATCTATTAAATACAACCGTTCTAGAGGCGTGTTCCATGTCCCTTAGCGAGATTATGTAAAGAAATGTGCAGCTACATGATGTGGTGATATATTTTGCACAAGGGAAGCAATTTTTGTCACCATGAATGATTTCAAAACAGTGCATACACATGTGAGTGGGTTCACTTAATAGCTTTCTAATAATGGAAATGCTGCTGGTGTTTTTATTCCCAACATTGTAAATGAATTGGAGCAATGTTCTTGCATACGTGTGTCGTTAATGAAATATTACGAGTTCTTAAAAGACCACCTAACAACTAATTAACCTTGCGCTTTTCTTTGCTTGCTGCCGCATGTAATGTGAGCTCCATCCAGGACCGGATATCCATTACTTGTTAATTGTTTCGTGATCGCAGACCTTTACTCATACGACGAGTGAGTCTGAGTGTACACAGTGGTGAAGGTGAGCACGGTTATCCCAATGGAGGATTACCGCGTTTAGTGCTGGCTTGGCGGATGTTCTTGTCACGCTACATGGTGGCAGAGAGCAATAGCTGGAATTTATAACAGATTAAGCTTCTCAAATTTGCATCGCGAATGAATGCTTCACACAGGCTCCGAACACTATTTGGGTGAAATATGACATTTGTTAAACAATTTGTTAATAATTATTCTACATTTGCAGTGATTCAATGCCGGTGAACTAATTTAGTCATCGGCGACACGCATATATGTATATAAAAATACGCGTATGTATGCATATAAATAGTTGAATAAGTATGATGGCAAATTGCCATTGGCAATACCCCCACCATTTTATGATCACTTAATATCTATACTATCTACATAGCTACATACGAATCTTTATGGAAGTAAATATACGAAGTATGAATATTGATTTGCAAACAATTATTTTTTGCGATTATATAATGGGTAGGTGGGCGTATGTACTTGGAAAAGTTTATTTCTTTTTTGGATTGTTGTACGTAAGATATGAATCCAAAAAAGTACGCATCATGTTTCAACTGCAGAAATTCACATCATCTAGAAATTCATATGCTTTCAGCAGATATTTTTGAGTGCGTAGTCCTTAGGGACAGAAACAAGGAAGACAATGTTCAACTACGTTAGTTCTGAGTCTTCTAAATTGAAGTTTTCAGTGTAACCTTTCAAATTCCATTCAAATTTCATAAGAGACAATCTCCTTTAGCGGAACAATAGAAAACTTAATTCAATTTTCAATGCTAAACCTTAAAAATTCAGCAAATCTAATTCTGACGTTCTTCATATTTTCAATTTTCGCAGAGTGTTTTATAAACCAATAGAACGTGGGTTCTTAATGTAGCATAAAAATTTGATTTCCTTGAGCAAATTATGCCGGTGACGGGGAAAGCGTAATAATATTATCAGGCCCTTGGCTAAATGTTTGACTTTCAATGCGAAGTAAATTGCCTGTGGTTTGAGAGAAAAAATAGAAAACGTGAGTATTGCATAGTCACTCGCCATTTGCGGCTTAAAAGGATTTCGTGCACGCAAAGAACAAGACTTCGATAATTTGTTTGCAATTGGAGTTTTATTTCACGTTTGTTTCTGCACTGCACAGTTCCCCACACACCAAAGACGGAGAAAGCGAGGGAGCGAGAGAGGAGAGCACGGGGAAAGCAAGAAGACGGAAAGAGAGCTAATGTGGGGAAATAAAGGTTGGTCCGTTAGTTAGCCAGCGGAGAATTTGCTGCTCCTGCTGCTGCTGTGTGCCAACCCATACGTACATTCCAGATTCATCTGCATTCAGGTTGCGATTGGCAGCGATTGCGATTTTTACTCACCATTTTATGTCGACTGCAATGTATAGCAAAGAAAGCATTCACGTGATATTACCAAATTGTTTTATCCTGGGCGATAGTGACTATGACCGACCATTCCATGGCCACCACCACATACTGATACTGCACACTTACTAATACAAAGTGAGAGGCGAAACTTTATACTGGTTGGTTAGCTGGTTGGGTGGTTGCATGGCTTTCTCTCATGCCACAAGGAATGAGCAGATAGAGCCGGAAAGTACGTGCACGGAGAACTGCTTCTTTGATGAGAAGCGGTGAAATTGGTGAAAGCACTCAAATTCAGGTTGTATCGTAATACTTGCGTATATGTGGCTGTGCTGGTGTGGATGTGTTGGTTTTCAATGCTGAGCACAAGTTGTTTGCCATGTCTGACAAGGAGAGAGGAAGGAGCGGAAGACCATATCGATGAGAACACGGAATATGGATATCTAATGCCAAAGTCCCTCATGCAGTCACATCATTCACGTGAGGAGAATTTTAAAATCGAGTCAATCCCGTTTTTATTTTTATGTATTTTTTATGTTTTCTTCTCCTTGCGAAACAATCAAAAATGATAACCGAAACCTCGAGTAATGGATGGACAGTTGCGGCCTATCAACAATTATGGCTGCCTCGTTTTATATGTATAGTTAATATTTGTTGGTCGCGGCTATAAAAATTTCAGGCATGAGGTTGTTGATTCTCCTTTGTTAGCTGGTACGTGCAAGTGAGGGACTTATGAACTTACATCATCGTCGTCGTGAACGTGATGGGAAAGTGGCTGACTGACTGACGGACTGACGGAGGATGCGGTTCTTTTTTAGTTGACTCTCTTCTGGCATCTGAATAAACATGACATCACAGCTCACACCACGTACTTTAATCTCCACAATGTCGGGAATGTCAGCTTGACTGAACGGGAGCGGGGACATGATGAAGCGTGGCAAAAGTAATTTTTCGGGGACAATAATTCCAACGACGAGAGAACTCTTTCCCTCGAGCCGAGTGTATAGCCAAGTTTTGGGAATTGGCAAATTTGTCGGTTGGTTGCTTTACGTCGTTTACTAGCTTCCCATCAACCCTCGACGCCTGGGTAATTTTTTGTGGGGAAGGTGATGACGACTCTGCGCCTGAAGTGTGGTTTTCTTTCGCAGCAGATAATTGCAAATATTAAACTTTTCCTCATTTCCAAAACCATTTCAGCCACGTATTTAGTTCTCATAACTGCAAGACGTGAGAGGGACGAGAGCAGCCTCCAGAAAAACATCAACTGGACCAATTTCCCAACAACTCTTTACGCCTCATTTAAAGCCGAGTGTGTAGTAACCAAAATTCATTTGATGACTTGTATTTATTCCAGCAGAAATAAATACATTTCTAATCAAACGTTCATGGTTAAGTACGGATGATCTGATTTATTTGTCGCGTCTTACATGGATGGGAACATAGTCGTGGGATTCGCTAATGTGGTGCTACTCATACATACTCGCAATCGCAATTTTATAAAATTATAGTACATGAGCTAAAAAAGTAAACGCGTGAAGTTTTCACTGATTTCGTGGCGTACAAAATCTATATGTGGAAAGTGTCAGAAAAGATTTTTTTGGTAGCATTTACAGTATTCCATGTTCAACTACATCAAGTTAAATTCAAGGGTGGATAAAGTAAGACCAATAAAATGAAAACTTGTTTCAATAAAAACTCTGCAATTACGAACTTTTCTCACTTTTGCTGGACGAGGTAGAACCTGGTGTTGATTTTGCCAACACTTGGGCAGCAATTTATGGATAGATATAAATATAGCGCGGAAGTGTATAACAACTTACCAAGTATATATGTGAGTATGTACTAAGTATTCTAAAAGTATGTCTGATTCGGGTTTTGAGAATTTGGGTAAAGTTGTAAATTGTCTTAAACTTTCCTCGTCCTGAAAAAAACCCAAACCTGCATCATCCAATATCCTCCAATTTGTTCCTGTCATGCATATGATCCACAAGCGTCAATCTGACAAAACTAATGTAGTTTGGCAGTTTAAATACTTTACTGCATTTACAATTGATTGAATATATCAATTTTTGGAGCATCTTACTTCGCCATCAAATAGATGCGACTTTTGCATAAAACCAAAAGTTCTCTGATGTACTGCGAGTCTCTTTGATCCTCTTGATATTAAAAATTCCAAAATGACTTTTATTTTTCATATTTGTCCCGACATTCTTGCTCGTGGGGGAAATTATGTTTGCTCGTTTCATCATTTCTTGCAAATATTTTTCATTAATTCCATTTTCTTATTCCGTTGATTTTCGACAGTGAGCTACATATTTATAACTTGTATTTTGCCACCACAATCTGAAAAACGTTTGATTGTATTACTTATTTTCAAGTTACATACAAATATCATCATATAGCGATTTCGCCAGAATTATACGTAAGGAAGAAACTAGTGACAACTTACATATGTATGAAACCATGTAAATACGTAACCAAAGTAGTAGTGCCAACAAACCAATGTCAACTGAAGAGGTAAACAGAAACTCATGTGCGTCACCTTTTTACAAGGAGAATATTTCACAAACACCCGTTTCAATTCCATTCTTGAAATAGATATCAATTGTCTTGAAGTGTCATTCAGAAATACCGGGAGCAGTTTCCAACTACGCGATGTGGAAGTATGTATATTCTTTCTATTGCGTGTTATATCAGGGCTCAGGGCGCATAAACTTTTTGTTGTCTGTGGTTTCTCGTAAGGATTAAAGAATGCAAACCTCCAGACATTCATTGTGAGGAGGCCAGAGACCTTGTGTGACGTTTTTAGTAGCGCCTCACCTAAGGATAAGTAGGCTTTTTTGGAAATTGGTTTATTGTCATATGCATGTTGAGAAACGAGTTCAAAGATGGGTGAAATCGGTCTAGTGGTTGACCAGTGGGGGTCATCTGGGTGGGCGGGGTATTATGTACCAAAATTTCAAAATTGTAAAAAGCCGAAATTTGGTCAGAAAGATGAAGACAGTGAAGGGAAATTGGAAAAATTTTCTTCTGGAGGGACCCGAGGGGGCGACCCATGCCAGTTGTTGACGATAGTCATATCGTATGCTGAAATTTGGCATGGATTATGGTTTTTAATGGAAGAGTATGCATTGAAATTTAAAAAAATCATCTTGAAAGGCACCCCGACCGATTTTCAGAAATTAACTTGGAAAGCTTAAAATTTTTAACAAAGATCTTGAGATCATGAAATAATACGAAGTTAAATAAATATGAATAAAAATTAACCAGAGGGGC